CACGCTGCAGTGTGGGTGCTGATGACAGCAGTCTTGCGTTCCCGTCCTGGTAACCGACCCCAGTAACGACCCGGCCATCTGTAGGAGGGCGGGGACACAGGAGGAATGGGAGACGGGGGGAGAGAGTGCGATACAGCCGGTTGTTATGGCGACGTCTCCCACCTCAGGCTGCCTCCAGCGCCTGCATTGTGTTTCTGCGGCTGCACGAGTGGCTCGGAGCTGGGGACCGGCCGTTCCGATGGTGCCCATCTGCCGCGCAGGTTTAGCACGGCCGGCTAACGGCTCCTTCCCAAAGAATTCTTCCTCTTTCTCCCGGCCTCACTCTCCTCTCGTGTTTATTTTCGCCCCGGACGCCATAACGGCGGAGTCGCAGTAGCGCAGAGAAGCGCCTGGGGTGGGCTGCCTCTAGCTCTGAAAAGATCCCCGGTGGTCCGAGCCGCCCGCCGCTGCAGGAGCAAGCGCCCGATTTCAGGGGGCCGTCGGATTGGCGGGACGTGGATGTGACTGTCCTGGAGGGCATTTTGATAAAGGAGATACAAGCTTCTCCTTAAACTGTTTGTAACTGGGACCATAGCAGCAAACTGCACATAACAACACATGTAGTATCGGGGGCTGGCTTTGGACGACGTCCCTGTGGGTCAGGATGAGCTGTTTTTAGTCATTTTTTATATGCTGTAGTAGTCTTTGGCGTAGGAATGCTTTGCAGTGGGTCTGTCGTAGTGTTTCTGTTATATTTCTCTCTGCTGCCTGTCTCTGTGTGTTGGGAGGGAGGGGAGGGGCCGGCTAGGAGAGTCCCGTGTTCATTCTCAGCTCTGTTCTGAACACCGGTGCGCAGAGCCCGGCGGATGCCATGCTCCGGAAGAAGGAGCAGAAGGATGCCGAACTGGACAGGAAGATCGAGGCCCTGAGGAAGAAGAACGAGGCACTGATGAAGAGGTATCAGGTGCGTGTCTGCGGCTCCATGGGCTGGAAGATCTGGCTGGTATCCAAGTGAAAAGCCACACCTGCTTCTCATTTACTGATTTTCGTATAGCAAGAACTTACATGTAGTGTGTAGGATTACATGTGAAAATTTTAAACAGACAGTGCTGTTGTATCCTAACACAAATACTGTGTAATAAAGGCCAAAAACACAATATGAACATGATATGAAATGCACTACAGTGTGAATCACAGGTAATTCAGCACAGTTAGTGATTTATCATGTTTATTTTATTTCACGTGAACCCTGCAGGTTTAAGCATAAGCTGTGTTTTTGTTTCATAAATCGTTTATTGCTGAGCATTATTCCCACCAGAGATTAGCATCACTGCCCGTCAGCTTCTTAGAGATTAGAGAAGCTCTTGCAGTTCTGTTTACCAAGCCGCCTGGTTCACATGCTTTCTCTAGTGCAAGTAAAGGCTTTGGTAAACCACGAGCTCGTCTGAGCTGAGGCCGCTGTTGTTCTCGACAGGAAGTGGAGGAGGACAAGAAGAGGGCGGAGCAGGAAGGCATGGCTCTGCAGGGCCGCAAGGGCAAGGCGGAGGACCTGACCATCACCATCAACAAGTGCACTAATGTGAGTGAGGTGGCAGCTCAAAAAAAATGGACCCGCTGCTGTTCACATCCAAGCCCCACGCGGGCACTGTGACATCAGAGGTCTGGAAAGCGAGTGCATAGACATACACGAGCTGCTAAATGCCTGTTTCTGGAACAGGAAGGACGTGTCGTCACAAAGAAACCTGGGACCGGTAGCCAGCCTGCCCCTCGGCCGGCACCTGAACCCATGGATGGGGATTCGAACCCATTCGGCGCTGCACAAGGCAAAAGGAGGCAACTGTTGGTCACCACCGGGGGCAGCACCAAGGCAAGCAGTGTTTCCACCATGGAAATGTGCTGGATTCTCTTACGTTTGGCCTAAGTTACTCTGTGAGAGGCAACGATGTATCAGTACAGAGCGGAAGCCTTTGGATTCTGACATCATCCAAGGATTCGGCCTTTTGATTGGCTGCTGGATGGTGGTTCCCCTTACTGGCCACTGTCTTGTTTGCACAGTGGCCGACGCTGTTAGCACGAGGCTCTCACTGTTTCTAGGGCAGGCGGATTGTGAGTGAGAGGAAGGGGGCGGGCCCACACTCAGGCCCCGGGGGGCCCAGGGAGCCTGGCAAAGCTGAGGAAGACTCCGGCATGGGCAGCGGAAGGCCGCCCCAGAGCTTGAAGGGGGAGACGCGAACACAGGTGGGCTGGTCACGTGGCCTTCCGGGTTATTCCACAGCAGACATAAGCCTAACCTCACAGGAGGGGGCAGCATTATTTTGTGAAGAAGGAAGACTTTTATCTGGCAGATTATGGGTGAAACGCTGAATTTTATGGTCTCATCTGGCCTTTTGTTGGTGCCTCTGTAACACTTCTGCTCCCCCAGCTGCTCAGCATGTCAGACATGGGAAAATGCCCAGCACCCTGACCCAGACAGACAAGAATTCGGGAAACTGGAGGAGAGGTTAGGGTCATGGACTGGAAGCCCCACCCTGTCCCTCCAACAAAGCCCAGTCCTCTAATGAATATTCATAATTTGTATTGTGGGCCAGAATCGGCAGAGGCTAGGAGAAAGTAGCCCCTCCCATTCTTCCATTAGCCCCACCTCCCAGCCCACAATACGACTCAATTAGCTGCTGACTCGCATTTTAATGTAATTAACAATCCCTGACCTCAAACCACCAAAGTGTGCTATGGCGTCTTTAAGGCAGATAAATGTAAAAAAGAATTAAGTGTTTGCAGTGACTTCCCTGCAAGATTTTATATATTGTTTTTTTGTTTGGAAATTTCTTTTTTGGAAAAGCTGGATCAACTCAGAGGTGAGTTGGATCATTTGTCTTTGGGAGTTTAACTGGCCTGTTGTGAGTTTTGTTTAGAAACTCCGCGCCAGTTAAATGATCTCAGTCTGCGTATGGGTGGGGGCTGACACAGGTGGGGGTGGGGGTAGGCTGACACCCCTTCTATTTTAAAGTTCCCCCAGACACGGTCTTTGGCACGAGGCTTCTGCGGGGGGGGGGGGCTTTCATTGCGTGATTCAGCTGTTTTCAGTAACAACACTCAGTGCAGCTTTTGCTGAAAACAGAAAAAAGTGAAGCTGGTCTAGAAATGAGTTATTTGTACTTTATGTTTTCACTCTGCTTGCCCTTCGGTGTTTTTGGAATTCAGCTGGGCTCGCTGATCCTGTGTGTGTGTGTTCCTCCCAGGCCCCTCCCGGAACATTCTAAATGGGCAGGTTGGGGGCAGGGCAGGGCGTGGCTCTGTTAGCTGGCGTCGTCATGTGCTGCCTGACGACGGATTGAGTCACTATCAACACTGAGAGTCTCTCAGTTCCTGACCTGAAAATTCTTGGGTGTGTGCCTTTTCAGCTCATGCCGGTCACGCTCCAGAACATTCTGGAAGGGTATGAGTGGCGCCATTCTGTTGGGGGGTGGGGGGGGTGCCGTAGGCGGTGCCTGAATTCCTCCATGTTTTGCCCAAATTTATGAAACCAATTTTCCACTGGATATCTGCTGCCTGCTTCTGTTACCACTCAGCTTCAGTGTGGGAACTAAGGGACTGAAGTTTGAGTGTGGGCCTCTGGCCCGGCCTGTCCTGGCTGCTGTCCTCCTAACCACCGCTAATAGCTAACGTGCTCATCTCCCCCTGCCACAGTGAAGAAGAATGGTTTAACCTAATTAGCATTTGCCGACGTTTTGCATTGAATGGGCTCATTATCGGCGCAGACGGGGATGGGTTTGGCCGGGAGCCGGGGAATGGCAGTAGAAAGGCCGTTTCTGTGGTCTGTCTGATGGGGGTGTAGGATGGACCAGCAGTGCTGTGGCGGTTGCAGGCCGTATCGACTCGGATGCCTGTCTTCATCCCTGGTGCCCCCTCTTGACTGAAAATTGGAAGGACAGCTGAGGTCCCCTGTAATGCTCTCTGCCTCCTCTCCTGCTCGCACTGTGTCCTCTGCCCTGGCGTTAACTTCTGCAGTTCCTGGGTTTAACCTGTTTTATCAGGGACAGTTTTATCAAGAACAGATTTATTAGAGGAAAACCCACATTTTTCATGCATGAGAGCTGTGATAGATGGAAGACATCTGTGTTTGTTTGCTCCTACATAGAAGGTTTAAACACTTAGGGTAGCTACAGCATCTCCATCTACAGAACTCCATCAGAGCACAGAGCAGTCTAATGGTGAGCTTGTCGGCTCTGTCCACAGGGGGGCAGTGTTGAACTCTGTGTAGACACTTTCTTTCCTATAAGCAGTTTGATTTGTCTCATCGTTTGGATCTAAGTGGATGCTTCATCTCACTTCCATGTTTGGGTAAAGCAGGCTATGAAAGGCCATCCGCCTTTTTCCATTAGAGTCTGGACACCAAACCAGGGGAAACACTCCTGGTAGCCAGAACAATAACTGTTGTGGTGTGTATGGCTGTTAACAGAGATGGATAGTTCAGGTCCAGAAAGTAAAAATCCAGACCAAGAGTTTTTTAAATCCAGCCAGTTGAGTATTTTGTGACTGTGACTCTTTATACTCAACTGGTTGATTGAAAATCAACAAAATTTTGGTCTGGATTCTTAATTTCTGGACCTGGTCTATCCGCCGCTGGTTGTTACTTGTAAACCGAATGTACGCTGGTGGTAATTACAAAACTGAATGTTAACTGTTGCGAGTGCCGTGTGCTTTGAGCGTGTGTGCGTCTCTGTCTCTCTGATTTTTGGAGAGGTCACCAGAGGACACCTGCCAGCCACTCTGTACACAGTGTCTTTCTCCGTTTATGCTCGTCTCACATTGTTCTCTCTTTCTAAATTAAAGCACGACCTTCAGTGAGATCCAGCCACCGCAAAACATGCCTTGTATGTGTAAAGGTGGTGCCTCAATGAAATGATACCCGGTGTCCACGTGTAGCGTTTTTCCTCTGCCTGCCTGCCTGCCTGCTTCTCCTGTTTGTTGGTGTTATACACTCTCCTTCTGGGGGGCAGGGTGGAGGTGACTGTCTACCCCCTTCACTCGACAGGATGGGGATTTGGTGATGAGGACCTGGATGAAATGTGGTCTCACACTGGTAATATAGGAGGTTGTTGCTGGGATGTTTCTCAGATGAGTTGGTGCAGGGGGAGGGAACCAGTTCTCGAGGATCTCACTTACTACAAAAGCAGGTCCCCCTTGTGGCCCAGCTTAGCTGCAAGTCTGAATTTGGTCAGAATCTGTGCCTGTTTAGTGAATCTTTTTGCATCCTGAACATATCAGACTCTTTATATGGGCACAACACAGTATGCAGGTTGACTCATTTCTGACGTCTCTCAGCTTACATTTTGCCCTATTGGCAGGAAACAGTGTTTTTAATGATTAAAAACAAAATGATTCAGGTGAGAAATGGTAAGTAACTCTCTCTCTCTCTCTCTCTCTCTCTCTCTCTCTCTTTCTCAGGAAGATGCTGGGAAGCAGGAGCCACACGGCTCAACGGAGGCCGAACACAACCCCTATTACCAGGTGAAGAAGCTCGTTGGCTTACGTAACCCCCTCCTCCACCCCCCCCTCCCCGACTCTCTGAGTGAAGTGGCACTGCCATCAGTCCCCCCTCCCCCCAGATACAGTCTGATCCACTCACAGTTTGTTCATCAAGTCAGAAGTGTCTTCTGTCATAATCCCAGCTCATGAGCACACACACACACACACAACACACAGACACAGCTCTCAGGTCTATGCGTGTGTGTTGAGGAGGGGTGCTGTTTATGCTACCACATCACTGCGACTTTTAAAGGGAGAGCTGCTGTGCCTGGCTGTTCTCGACCTTGCTGACGACATATTCGCCACGGGGCCGCTCTCTGGTGTGCGTGTCACTTAGGCTGCAGAGGTGTATTCTGGGAATGTTTCCTTTTTTTTGCCCCTCCCCCGTGTGCTGCTTTCCCTTCCAGCTGAGCTCTTAATTATTCGGCTGGGATGAATCACAGAGTGTAGGTACTATCCATCAAATATTACTGTCAGGACAACATATAACAGTAGCAGGTAAAAGAGAGCTTTAGATTAGTGAGGTTAAAAAAGCGTAATGGTGTTCAGGTTTAGCTGTTAAAGTTACCTTTAAGTACCTTTGTGCTATTAAAATATCAGCTTGATGACAGAGGGAGCAGCTGAATTTAGAATACTGTTTGGTGAATGGCCAAAGGCCGTGTTTATGTTCCCGGGTGAGAGAGAGGTTGTCTTATTGCTCAGAACGTTCCGGGTGCTCGTGCCGCCCTGGGAAACACTGGTGTGCCGTGTTTGTTTGTGCTTCAGCTTCACCTGGAAGCCGGCGGAAGCCGCTCTCCCTGTAACTGTTATAAGCAGGGAACTCCCGCCGCGGCAGGAAATTGAAAAGGCTAATTGGCGGGGAGGGGGGGGGGCGACCCACAGGGAGGGATGCTTGTTTACTGGCCACTGATTGGCTCCTTGACTTGGAGGAAAACATGGCGCGCAGTTCTCTTGGTTTCTCCTCCCCCCTTCTTTCTCAACCTGCATGCTGGGTTACTATAAGATGGCCAAGTCAGTGAGACAGCGAGAAGCTATCTGAGGTTGCGTTGGCATGACTCAGAGGCTCAGCGAGGTACAGAACATGGGCTGGGCATGGCCGGCTCTCACAGCTGGGCCCTCACAGCTGGGCCCTCACAGCTGGGCCCTCACAGCTGGGCCTCAGACAGCTCACACGGCCCAGTAAGGGCAGGACTGCTGAGTGTCAAACGTGCAGTATAGCCCCTTAGCATGCAACTGATTGGTGGGATGAAATGAACAACGAGAGTAATTGTCGGGGTTGTTAGGGCCTGAGGTACAGAACATGGGCTGGGCATGGCCGGCTCTCACAGCTGGGCCCTCACAGCTGGGCCTCAGACAGCTCACTTTGTGTTAGGGCCTGAGGTGGTGCACTCGCCTCAGGTTCGCAAGATTCCTGTATTTCGTGCAGAAATTCGGCCACAGGGAGACGTGGAGTGCATGTGTGTATCTGTGTGCATGGAGAAACCGGCTCTGCTCCAGGACAGACCACACCAGGGTGTCCACGAGAGGTGCTCTACGGAGTGTAACTAAGGCTTCCGATAAGCGACCTCAAGCCGATGATGTGCGAATGAGGAAGTTGAGAGGCAAAGAATTCCTTAGTTTTTGATCTACATTGGGGTTGACCCCCCCCACCACAGACAGCCCTGAGCAGCCCTCTCTTTCCTCCAGTTTTTGACTATGTTCTCTCAGCACAATTTTGTTCGTTTTTCATGTGGGACATACACGTGTCTCCACCTTGTAGGGTTTTGCTGTGTGTACTTACATTGACCGACTGGGGTTGCGGCTTCTGCACAAAGAGGCCCAGATCACCACGAGCAGAGTGAGCGAGTGCCGTGTGCGTCCCGTTGGCAGGATTGCCAGGACTCTGGCCGGCAGGTCCACACAGACCTCACCGTCCCCACCTCCAAAGAGGAGCAGCTGGAGTACCTGCGCTGGAAGAAGGAGCGGGAGCGGATTGACCGAGAGCGTGTGGAACGTCACAAGAACGCCAAGGGCCAGTGGAGGAGGGCCTGGGATATGGACAAGCCAGAGACAGGGTAAGGCAGGCCTCCGGAGACAGCGTAAGGCAGGCCTCCAGAGACAGCGTAAGGCAGGCCATCACTGACGTCCATTTATGTTTGTGTGTGGCCCTTGACTTTAATTACCAGACAACTGGGTACTTCTTTCCCTCTTGTGCACTCTCAGCATCCTTATGGAGGTTTGTCTGCCTTGTTAGCCCATGAGTGAGTCTGAAATGGACCCACTAAAGTGGAAATTTGCATGTGAACCCAGATTGTGTGACTCCAGCTGCCTGCAAATGGAGTAGCCAGGCTACAGCAGTAGCGCTGCAGTGAGAAATGACCTCATGGATTGAAAAATGACATGTGGTTTTTCTCGTTCTGATTTCTGGTTGCATATCTTGTCATGCCTCGGGGATGCAGTGTGTCACCATGGGACAAAAAAACTATTTCATACAGCATTTCTCTGATTCATCCTTAGGTTCCTCCAGTTCTGAGGAAAAACATATTATATTTGTACATGATCTTACCCTTTACCAGCTGCCCTGAAGGAGTACGAGGTGTCAGTGTGTCATCAAATATGTTGATTGCATTTTAGTACTTGGAAAGTACTTGACTATGGAAGTCCAAACTTAAATGAAAACCTTTTGAAGAAGACAAAACACTTCCCCTCATTTCTTTCACAGCAGGGATGGACTGAATTCAAAATAAATTGCAGATTCACCCATATATAGAAGCTGCATATTTTGTTGGAGACGTTCGGGTCAAGTGCTCCGATTATCAGCCGCAGCAGATATGACTGGACTTGAAGAGGACAATTTGATGTGAAAAGCTTGAATGCCTGCCTGCCTGTATGTCTGGCCAGCTAATGGCAATTCTTTTTTTAACAACCATCCGTTAATTCATTGTGTTATCATCAACCGAAAGTAGCATGTAGCGTGAATGAAAAAACAACGCATGTGGTTATATTTGTGGGAATGAATAAACATCTGTACTTTGGATGATGGGTTATGAGTCCCATATCTGCTCTGTTGACTCTCTCTTTATTACATTGATTGTCACAAGACTATTGAATCATCTCATTGGGCAGGAACAGGGCTGATGCACTAGGACTGAGCGAATGCTGTGGAACAGAGACGTATCGAGAACAGGGGCCCCAAAACACAATCCGTCGTGGTAGCTTGTGTGCCTGATTCCTTGCAGAACAGTTCTAGATAAGCCTGCTGAGGTCCGTGCCTTTCGCAGACCTCAGTAGACATGGTGAGAGCATTAGGTTTGTGCCTGTTTGCTGGACGCTGCTGCTCAATGCTGGACTCCGTATTTGTTAAAAAGGCAGCAAACACTCTAGGGAATAGTGTGCAAATATATCTGGTGCTTTTGGTTACTTCATTAACACCCAGGAAAGTCACTCACTTCTATCACACTCTGCTTGCTTAATTTCCTCTGGTGATGGAAGTGTCACATCGTTTCAACCTGCTTGGTTTGCATGCGTGTGGTTTTGTGTATTAATGGGTCTCAACAATGTAATAAAACACTGATACGTTTTACATTGTGGGGACATCTTTCCCGGCCCCACAAGGGAAAACCCAATTTTATAAAAATCTGTGACTGCAATTAAAAAAAAAAAATTGCTGAAGGTCTTGTTTTTTTTGTCTGGCTACTTATGATTAAGGTTAGGGCTGGGTAGGTTATGGGATGATGGTTGTCATAGTTGAGATTAGGGTTAAGGGGTTATGCCCATAGAAATAAATCCCTCATAACGATATGAATACTAACATCTGTGTTTGTGCGTGTGTGTGTGTGTGTGTGTGGTCAGGACAGAGCGATCCTGTTTAAATGCAGAGCAGATCTCTGCCACCTAACAGTGCTGTGATTTTATTTGAGACCGTTTCCTATGCTCGCCTTTAGCCGCACTTCTGTTCAGTTCCCGGGACACAAGCCTGTGCCAGTGATACCTTTTACAGTAATGCCGTGGAACCTTTGTTCCCCTTTATTTTATGAAGGTGTCTTTCTGCTCAATGTCTGGAAGCTCTCAGGCGTGGATTAGTGCACTGGGACTTCAGCATGGGATAGCGTTCGAATAAATAGATGCTTAATGTGAATTAGAGCAAAGGGGTTGGGAGTATTTTTAGCATGGCTTGAAATGCCTTACCTTATTTGGGAAGGTTTGATAATGCTCCAGCGACTTCCCAGATGAAGGAATGCTTCATTTGTCTACGCTTCCTTCTTGAATATTAGCTGGAGAAGAAGCCCTGGGGGGTTTAATTTGTTCCTGCTGGGAGGCCCCTTAGTATCCTTGCCGGTGCATCCACAGATTATAGCTACTGTTGCTGTTGATAATTTATTTTTGATTGTTTTTGGTCTGCAGGTTTCGGGAGAGAGTTCACGGGGAAGCTGATCGTGGAAGTCAAGGCAGAGGTGAGGGACGGTCAGCTGGGGAAAATCACAGAGCGCTGAACAGTACTGACTTACAGCTGACTTTGGGGGGAGGGGGCTGGGATCACTGTGCCCCTGTTCAAGCTCCGCCATTTGTGTTGATGGCGCCTCGCGAGACATTTCTCCAGCGATGGCCTTTGTTTGGTGGCAGGCCTTCAGTTTCGCTGTCCCCCTGGGGCTTGGCTCCCATTGACGCTTCGGCGGAAGGGAGGCGGCAGCCTGTCAGCCAATCGGCGGCTTCCTGGCGCCCCCTGAGCCTGCAGATTGCACCACAAACCCTGCACCCCAAAAGCATCAAGCCTACTGATGTCTGGTGGCACTGTGACATCATCGTATGACCCCCTCCGAGGAGGCGGCTTGTGGAGGTTTACTGCACAGGGGACCACAGGGTCTAAGGCGGGTAGGATTATAAAGCCCCCGGAAAATATCCTAGCTGGACCTGTGCTATTTTTCCTCAGGAGGAAGAAATGTGCGACGGGGTAGCCTGAGACCATATGCAGAGTCGCGGGGTGAGTGCAGACTGGAGCCGGAAACGGCACAGTGATGACGACACAATCTGAAGTAATTATGGTTTATGGACCTGTTTTTTAATTTAGAGCAGTGTTTCCCAACCCGGTCCCCGTGGACCCACAGATGGTCCACATTTTCGCTTCTGGTCCTCACACCTTTCCAATAACTTAGACTGTCTGTAGGTCCCCAAGGACCGGATTAGGAAACAATGATTTAGCGTGTTTATAATCCCAGGATCCACAATAAATCAAATCCGTTCACTTTTTTTCGGCCGATTTATTGTAAGGACCTTTGGCTTCTTGTTCTTAATCCATCTTTGGTTGGCGTCGTAGGCCTCCAAGCATATCTGTGAAGCTTACACAGTCTTTTACTCTTTTTCTAATTTGCAAACAATTGCAGTTAAATAACTTCCATAATATTTAACATATTAATGCTGATGTGCTGCGGATGCCCTGGATTTTAGGATGATGATAAATGATTACCTGGAGCCATAGATCCTCCAGCATGCATAGCATTACCTAAATTATGGATGCTTTTTCAATCACACTGCTTTCCTCTTATGAATTATTAAATTGTCCTTATGCCATTAGCTGTTGTGACACCTGGGACGGCACTCTAACATTATTATGCATTATAAATGAAAAGCGTTAATGGTCTGCATATTCTCTTTGTTAAGATGCCCACCTCTCGACATCAAAGGTCTCTGATCTCCGATAAGGGAACCTGCTCTTTGTGTTCTTTAAGCCACTGAAGCAGGTTTGGCAGGTTGAAGTACAATTAAAAAGAATCAAACCTGTCTGCATTAATCTGATTTTTTTCAGTTTGTGTACTGGAAAAAGCCTCCCTGAAATGTAAAGTGGTGATTACTGTACATGTCCTAGCCTGACTGGTTAACTCTGGGGTGTCCAGGGCATCGGACCCGGGACAGGGGGACGAAGAACCTGCAGGCTATCGGCAGCAAAGCCAAGGGCAAGGATCGCCTGACAGGAAGAGCTAGGAGGTGAGATTCTGTAGATACCATAGATAGAGGTGAGATTCTGTAGATAGAGGTGAGATTCTGTAGATAGGGGACTGTGCCCTGGGACCCTAATCCCTTCTTGGGGGCCACACTTCTTGAACAGGAAGTCACCAGTAGATGGAGAGGGTGACCAAGAAAAGAAGACCACGCTGTCCATGCTGTCCATAACACTTTATGTTTTTTGGACTATGGAGAACACTCTCTGCCTGAAAACTGGTAGCAAGTTAAACGAGGCCTTGTCTGAATATGTTTTTTTTTTCAGATGTCTCCCAAGATTTTTATCCTACAGTAGAGAAATGTAACATTTCACAGCTTCTGATTCACCAGCGTGAGTCGACGGTGCAGAGCATACAGGCGGTGCTCCAGACTGCAGACCAAACGTGGGCATGAGACATTAGTGCATGAAGGCGAGACCATTAACACGGAAATGTGGCGTTTCATCGAAAGCATGTGTTTGGCTTCGCTGTGACCTCGCAGAGGAGCGAGGGGGGAAATGTTTGGTGACCTTCGCAGAAATGTGCTCTGTACTTCACTTGCTAACGTGGATTATCTGGCTTTTCAGATGGGATGCCAAGGAAGAAGCAAAGGACCCACAGGTTAGCTTTATCAGTCAGTTGTCTGCATGTGTACAGTTGGCTTTGGGTTTCTTGTTTGATTATACTGGTGCTGGGTCACAAAACTGCCTTCTACCATAAGATTGTATCTACAGGACAGTCAGTTTTCTTCCACAGTTAGATCATGTGGAAGTTTGTCAGCAAGCTGTTTGACTTATGTTGAGAATTTGGACCATATCAGAGTGTCCTCCCCCACACATTTTTGGTATTTATATCTCCAGACCCCAGAGAGTTTTGAGGAGTTCTTAGAGGAACTGGATGCCTACGGAGATGCTGACGTCGAGGAAACCCATCCTGGGGCAGAGAGTGGAGATGGAACTACGGGAGATAAGACTAGGGATACAGTAGGTGCTGTGGGGACTGTTACGGAAGACGGTTCCGGAGGTGTAAAGGACGCCACTGGTCTAGATCAGGACAGTGAGTCAGCTTTGAGAAAAGGCCAAGAAGAACAAGGCCATAAGCCAGCCACCCCGGAGGCCTTGCCCCAGCGAGAAAAGAAGGTCCGCTTCTCCGTAGAAGCATTGAAGGCCAGCGAATGGTCAGACGAAGAAATCCCTGAGCCGACCCTCCCAGAGGCCCAGGCGGATGGCCTCGATAGAGCCCTGCAGCGCACAGACAGCCCTCCAGGGGGCGTCGACACACCTGGGCTTAAGGGAGACCGCACCTCAGGCAGACCTGAGCAGAAAAAAGGTGTTTGCCTTCCTGAGACTCCCAGAACTGGAACGTCCGATAGCAAACCCGGTAACGTGGTCACGGGCAAAGTGGACCCAGTGTCTCAGTCTGTGGACGGCGACTCTCCGACCGCTCAGCCCACGGGACATTCAAAGGGCAGTGCCAGCAAAAGCCCAGGTAGCTACCATCGCCATTCAGTGTGTCATGCTGTCCTTCCCCCAAGAGAGCAGGAGCGGCCGTCGCTCTGTGCGTCTCGAGGCCCTGACGTGTCTCTCGTCCTCAGGAGAGAGAATTGACGCTGGGTTCTCTGTGATGACCACTGACTGTGAGGCTCCTCACCGTGCTCACAAGAGCAACACTGAGAAGGTGAGGTGCCAGGCGTGGAGGAGCATTCAGACCGACCCGCATCCAACCCCCCCTCCTCAAACCAGCCGCGGTGCTCCTATAATCTGGGACGGTCCTATAATCTGCGGTCTCTAACAGAGCGTTGCTGAAGGGGGCTGGAACGCAGAATCTAACGTGATATTTAGCTAACAGTTTAATGGTCAACACATGAAGAAATGAGTCCAGGAATGTCTTTAAGAGAATGTATCCACGTGGATGGCATTGAGGACCTCGCTGCCTGTTCACAACTGCATGGTTACAACCTTTTGTTTTGTTTTTTTTTCTTCTAGGCAAAAGAAAATGGGAAAATAGTTTGAAAGTGAAGAAGAGGGGGTCTTATGCACTACGCTAAGGAACTGATGCTTTGTTTTGCACAGTTACTTAAATGTCATTGATGGGCTTGTGGAGAAAAGTGGGAATGAAAACATTATCACAGGTGGAGTCAACGCACATTCAGTGCCGTAGTGGTGAAGAATTAGTTTTGCTTTGCTTTTTGCAGTATTATGTATAATGTAGATTAATCACATTACGGTTAATATATTTCACTGTTGAAGTGTATGAGAAGAACCTTGGTTTTGCTCTTTTTTTACTTGAAACATTTACATTCATATATGACTTGGTTTTATAGAATGTCATACTTCCCAAATTAAACTTAGAGTTGGTGACATCATTCTTAATATTATACTATAAACTCCTGTTTTTCTTAGGGAAGTCACCATAATGCTGGCTCTTGGTTTTTGTGGGGTTTTTTTTGTGTATTTATTTACTACATGTGACACAGAAACTCTTGTGTTCATGTAACCAATCAATGTTTTAAACATTTGAATGTGGTTTTTAAGACTGGATAGATTAGCGATAGCCTTTGCACATATAGTATAGTCTATTTATTTGTGTTTGAATATTGGAAATCGACTGCTTATGGGCATAAGTCCATTATCTAAGTCTATAAATACTAATTATACTAATTGGATCCTTCACGTAGAGCCTGACAGTTATCAGAGAAGGCCGTCTGAATGTAGGTGCGCAGTTTCTCTCGCCTTCCTTTAAAACAGATTTGACCTTTTGTGCGTCGGATCTGCTGTTCTGTAACTGACGAGGTTAGAATTGAGCGGTGAGAGGCGGAGCCGTGGGGAGGCAGCCTATCAGAGGAGCAGTGCTTTACCCTTCAGTTTTAGATTGCACAGCCAATGGTCACTTTTAGTTTTCCGTCCTTGTTCTGGCAGCTGAATGTTTTTTGGGTACAGTGACCGCCTGTGTTGTAAATATCCAAAATGGTAGATTCCATTGCTCCGAAAGGAAAAAAAAAACGAGATTGGATGTCGATATTTAAAAACGCACTTACCATACCTATTTATCTCACTATGGTGGCAGGAGGATGCTCTCCTGTCCACACCCTGCGTGGGTGGAATTTGCATGTTCTCACGGTGTTTCCAGGTACCTCCCACAGTCCAAAGACACGCAGGTAGGCTAATTGGTATTGCTAAATTGCACGGGGAGTGTGATTGCATGTGTGTCCTATGAGGGGACAGGACCCCATTCCCAGCTTTGTGCCCTTTGCTACCTGGGATAGGCAGCTAGAAGAAGGGACGATGAATTTAATTCATTATCTCTTTCACCCGAGATTTAATGGAGCCTTAATGTAAAAAAGGAGAGAATGTTTGCTAAGCACTTTCATATGAAAATTCATGTGCATCTGATGTACGTGGAAATCCGACTGCTTTAGGAAGAGTGGCGGAGGCATGTGTGCATTTTGGCATTTGAACCTTGGAGAGGGTCCACAGCAGACAGCTAGCGGTCAGTCCTGGGGTTTGTGTCAGTTGTAGCACATTGTTACAGAGTGTGAATTAAATTCAGCGTGGAGCAGCGATGTGTCATAGGACATGATTGCTAGCATGACCACATAAACTCCATTAGCAGCACATGTGCACATTTGCAGGTCTTTAGATGGTCTGAAACACACAAAAGTCCAGGTACTGATTAGGAAATAGCTTGATCGAGCAGATGATGAAGACCAGCTGTTTATAATATCAATTTGGAAATGAAGTGTCACAGCTTGATTCTGCTCCAGATGTGATTTGACCCACACATGTGTTTCATCATATGGTCAGGAAGTCAATTCCTTGGAGCGCTGGTTGGTCATCATAGTGCTGCAGTGACAGCCATGGAGCAGAGATACACTTTGTAACGAAACCCTTCCCAAGGGTAACAATGTGCATTTGGTTTCTGCTCTCCAGGGACACAAATGACACAGCTAAATGATCCTATAGGACTCTGATGTGCCCGATATTAACCCCAGCAAAGTCTGAACACGATTAACGGGCATCGCTGACTTGTGTTGGCACTGCTAGCTAAAGTCCTGTTTTGCCCCGTGTGTTTTCACTGGGTTGTCGCTAAATGTTCGGCTGTGGAAACCGGAAAGTAGGAGTGTATTTGTTACCATTCTGCCCGCTAAATGTTTCTCCTCAAATCAAAGTGCACCATTGTCATTTGCCTGTGTAGTTAAGGCTGCTGAAACAAGTTTAGTTTTTTTCAATAATGCATAAATCTGTTTTGCATAAGACGTAGTGCCTTTGTTGTGGTATCTTTCCCTTGGAAGTACCTCAGCAACCAGCGACATAAAGAAACATATCTTATAGCACTGGATAACCTGGACATATAGCAGTGCTAGGGAAAAAAAACTCACCTATAGGTCATGCTAGAGTCACATGACTAGCTTCAGAGACCATGTGACCTGATGGCAGCCTACTTATTAAGTTCTTGTTTGACAGTGGTTATAGCATGCTGTTCCCAGGACCTTGTTAAAACATTGAACTTCTGGTGTTGTTTTTATTTATAAAAAATTTATTTCTCTTTTTCCATTAACCATCAGATTTGAAAGAACACAAATGTAAAAATTCTTAAACTATGTCGCTGTTAAAACACTTTACTGCTGATAACCCCTATTAGTGTTTCACCTTGTGTACGTCCTCTATGTGCTAATGTCAGTGTTTGGCTCTTGGTGTTTTCCATTTAGGTTTGAAAATCCAGCTGACAACTTCTGGCTAATTTCTTCTTCCCAGTGTCCATAATCCCGGTTCACATAGTACCAAAAACACCACTAGTTTGAATAGAATCATGGCTTAGAAAATCCCATGGTGTGTGAGTCTGATATTGTGAATCATTCATGTTTTCATGTATGTGTATTTACTGTAGAATTGTTTAAAATAAAGTGTCTTGGTTATTTTCACTGTGTTATTTGTGAAAATGGTATTGACTTAGACTGCGAACGGCAATATAATGTATTGAATCTATAAATGATAAATGAATCAGTTATTCATTTATTTGTTCAGGCCTGGAAACCTACGTAATGATTAATAAAATAATACAGTGATCTTAATTAAATAGCACCAATATAAAGATCTTAACTGAAACTGGTTCCTCATAAGTGGGATGGTAGGACTTCTCAGTGGTCCCTAAAATGCAAAAACATCCAGATGGAGAGAGACGGGAGGGAAGGTGATTTGTGCGTCTGTGAGCGTCCCTCGCAGGTCTGTCCCAGAGCTTCACATTCCTCACCACGGCCTGTCACCTGAACCTGACGTCTACATCACACATGCTGCTCAAAACTGCTCGGGAAACAAAATAGCTTACTAATTATCTCTGATTAGAATGAGACCGTTAAAGCCCATCTTGCGGGCTATTTAAAGGCCGCGAGATGAGTAACAGCCTGTGATGGAGACGAGGCAGATCTTGGAGGATAGCCAGCCTACTAGCTGGTTGCCGTGGGAAAAATCACTAAATACATCAGTATCATGATAAAAAAATAAACACAAGGTGCCACTGCTGTTCACTTATCTTTGTAAATACGGTGGTGTGTGTCTTAATAACATTTTGAGGATGATGTGCTTTAACCAATGAAATATGTTCGTACAGATTAAAGTGGTACCGTCAGCTGTCAGGCAAACACTGGCCTGCCAGCGATACTGTTTATAACATTTGGATGCACTGTGTTTGCAGGCCACAAAGATGTTCTCCGAGGAGACTGTGGAACTGAGGATGTTTTAATCAGAGAGGAGAGACGGCAGCAGGGTGTGTGTTAATTAAGCCGGCTCCACGTGGGAGTTGGCCCTGATTAATTTGAAGCAGCCTCGCACTGGGATCGATGCGCTGGAAACTCCTCCCCCTGCAGGCTCTGTGGCGGCGCTACGCTTTTAATCACCTTCCCCGCAGTGCCTCAGGAGCTGCACCCCCCCCCCCCCCCCATCCTCCTCAGCCCCTGAGCGACTTCAGCCAATCATGAGCCACCGTATGGCAGGGCCAGAGGAAAGACTGCGCACATGGCAAACCATCTTCCCTCTTCTCGTGGTCAGAATGTGTTTATGAGCTAACATGGTGATTCCCATTTGTATCGTATTATGCAACAATGTAAAATATAATATCCTTGAAAGTGAAAGGGGCAAATGTTAGTTCTGGCTGGAGCGGATCACGTGAGATTATGTCCACACGCGACAAGCCCAAAAGGAACGCACGTCCCGTGCAGTGTTGGCAAACGGAGGCCTGAGAACAGCCCATTTGGTGCCAATAGCTCATTTTACTGCTGGCAGGTTAAATCTCATAACAGGCTCAGATGCCACCTTGGGTGGAGGTAGGGCTCCTCCTGCAATGCTCAGCTGGTGCTTCATGCTCCAGTTAACCGCCTAATTTATCACCAGTGGACCACCACTTCCAGTGAATTTCATGTTTTTAGTCTTTGAGTTGCATCATAGTGGTGACGACAGCCAATGAAATGATGGCTAAGCGACCGTTGCTCTTGGCTCAATCTAATTTTGCCAGTTCACCGTAGGGGCATTGTCTACATGATGGCGCCCTTCTCATGGAATCGCGTTTTAGTACTGCATTTGTTATGACCTTTCGGTTGCTATGTAACAATTCTCTGCACTGCAGGTTATTTGAGGCCTGCCCAAGTGAGGTCTTTGGTTCACGATGATAAGATTCAGAACCCGCTTACACCTTTCCCACGGAGCATTCCAGATATTTTAAATCGGTTACCGGTGTGAAAAGATAGAGGACAAGACTCGTATCTTGAAGCTTTCAAGACATTTTTCTACTTGATGCTGCATTACTTCGTTCAGTTTGGGGGAAACATTTAAGAAATACTTTGCACACTCAATTTGTACCATTTTGCACATTTTGAACATGCTTCTTTCTATAATCAAACTTTCCTATAAAAAAAAAAAAAGATCCTATAGTAATGCCAGTTAGTTAGCAGATGTGATCTCTAATATTGTAGCATACAGTAGTTTGGCTTTTTAAATTGTCTCTTGAGATATCAGTTTTTCCCAAACTGGAGGGATGCACATTTTTGTTTTATCCCAGTTCTTAGCAAACCTGTAAGGTATTTAGAACTCCTGACTGCTTGGATCAGGTGTTCTGGAAACTGGGGTAAACCAAAAATGTGGATGTGTCCAGTGTGCCCCAAGGACTGGTTTGGGAAACACTGTGTTATATGATACATAGAAGAGGAAATTTGTTTTATGCCTCTGTGACTGAAGGCTCTGACATACGTGCATGGCTTTAATTGGTCAGCTGTGAGCTACTCTCATCAGAATATTACCCGATTGGCCAACAAAAGTATTAATACTTGCCATGTTGAACATGTACAGAACCTGAAAATCTACAGATCAGTCACATGCGTAGATGCTGCCCAGAGCCCTGGGTGACCTGCTTTCCCATGTGAAGCTTCTTTTTTATGCTCCATGCATTAATATTCTGCCTTACAGGGTGTATTTCCTGGGGTTTTATGCCATGTCTGTGCACATTATTCCCGTTTCCGAAGTGCCATGCCCCTGTAGTTGGGCCTAAACATAGCACATTACGCCTGACAAAGGAAAGAGAAGCCAAGAAGTGTGTGGACAGCTTTTTGACACACAGCCTGGGCTGCCTTGGCTTTCTGT